GCGCGTGCGCTGGCTGCGCGTGCGCTGGCTGCGCGTGCGCTGGCTGCGCGTGCGCTGGCTGCGCGTGCGCTGGCTGCGCGTGCGCTGGCTGCGCGACTGGGTGGCGCATGCGCAGATGAGTGTGTCCGCTGTGGTTGCGATGCTGCGCATGTGTGGTTTTGGTCTCCGACTCTGGCTGGGAGGACTGAGCGGCACTCTGCGGGCCGCGCTTCCTGCGCCGGAGCGAGGTGGGCTCTAGATCAGTGGAGAGTACTCGTCCGGAAAAGCTTTAAACAACCTAAGTTCACAATAGTAAGGGATTGAGCTTTTAAAAATTAATGGGTTGGTCTCAAAGTTGTATGTTGGACGCCTATACTGTGGGCCGCGCTGTTTCAGTTCCTTGAGAAGCAGCAGTGACCAGTGACCGGGCAGACGCGGTCACGTGGAGTGCACGTACTGTGAAGTCGAGGAGGAGAGTAGAAGTTGAAAAAATGAATTACGGAGGGGCCGGGGATTTAGCTCAGTGATTCTGCCGCCTGCCTGGCAAGCTCAAGGACCCAAGTTCGATCCCCGGTACCAAAGAAAGAAAAAAAAAAAAGAATTACGGAATTGTTAGGTATCAAATGCTATAAGAGCAAAGAAGGACCGGGATGCGGCAAGGAGAGGATGGTGCAGTATTAGGATGGGCATTAGGCCAAATTTAATAAAATTAGCGTAATGCTGGGAAGGAGGCGATGAGGTGAATTTTGACCTACCTGGAGGAAGGGCATTTCCAGTCACCCAAAAACACTGGTGCGGAGGCCTGGAGTAGGGGAGAAAGTGATGAGGAAGAGTTAAGAGGCCTGTGTGGGGATTTGAGTCTGGGATGAGGTCAGATCGGTGCTGATCATGCAGGGCCTTGAGGTTATTGTAAGGACTTTGGCCTTACTCTGCCAGATGGGAAGCATTGCAAGGTTTTGAGCAGAGGAGCTGTCCCGGAGAAGTAACTCCCAACCTGTTAGAAGTCACATGTGCCAAGTGTGAGTCTCCCGATATTGAACAATGGATTCGAGGACGAAAGAGGTTCAGAGTAGGAAAGATTTATTGAGAGGAAGCTCTTGAAAGACAGGAGAGGTCTGAAAGTGGGTTGCCACAGAGGCGTTTTCTCCAAGGATATTTTATACAGCAGAATCACAACGTGGGTAGCTACCAGTATGGGTCAAACTACAATCAACCTGTAGAATTACAGTTATAGTTGTTTAGTTGATACTGATCCAGTAGGGAACCAAAGCATGTAGTCAGGTTGTATAGCAAGCATCATTAATTTTAGCTTATCTATTACTTGTAACATAGAACAAAGGCATGGCTGGAAAGGGATGAGAGTATGTGTCAGGGTGTTCTGGTCATCCACTTATGTATCCGATGGCTATTTGGGGCAGGTGGTGCTAATTACAGTATAATCTCAAGCTGCTGTTTGGCTCTAAGAGGATTGCAGGCCTGGCCATCACATCTCCATTTTGAGGTGTGGCTCTCAAAAAAACCGTGTGCTTATGTATATGTACAGGAACTTTCATATCAGTGACCGTAGTTTGACCAAAAGTAGCTATGCTAGGAGGTCTTACAGAAATCAAGCCAAATTCTCCTTAAAAATGTGAAAAGTAGGCCCAGGGATTTAGCTCAGTGGCACCTTGCCTGCCTCAAAAGTGCAAGGTCCTGAGTTCAATCCCCAGTACAAAAAAAAAAAAAAAAAAAAGTGAAAAATAACATGCGCCAGGCCCTGGGTTCTATTCCTAGCACTGAAAAAAAGAAAAGATAACTTATACCTTAGTAATTACTAGCCCTCTTGACTCTCGCTGTAGGTGTGATCAGCATTGGAAAAGATGCCAACATCAGCTGCCACATATGAAAGAATAGTTTACAAAAATTTCTCAGAGTACCACTACATGAAAGTCTGCCTGTAAGTCCAGTCTCCTGAGTTCTGTCTTAGATTACCTTTTTGAAAAATGATTCTGAATAGAATAAAGCTTAGTATGATGTCTTTTTTTGTGATTTTTTTTTTTTTTTTAATGTTGGTTACAGAGAATTTCAAGATCATGGAGTTGGACTAAATGTGGCACAGTTCAAACAGCTGCTTGTTTCTGCTCTGAAGGACCTGTTTGGGGAG